GGAGGGCTAGGCCTGAGGCTGCTTGGTGTGCTCTGCGTTGTGTATGTGTGAGTGCACCTCAGACCAGACCCACTCCGACAAATCACCAGGATCAGGCTTTATTCTGTAAAAAACATAGAACAGGAAAACAGTTCAGCAGCCCCCTTCTCTCAGCATGCAGCCTGTGTGCTGCTTCTAGCACAGTCCTTGCTGAGACCCTGCTGGGGGCAGAGGGCACATCCTGGAAGGAACCAGGAAGTTCTCCCAACATGCCGCAGTTTGTAGTCCACAACTTGTAGTTCCCAGGGCTGCTGCTGAAACACACTGTCTCTCCTCATATCTATGTTTTCAGCTTCTCAGGATCAGATGAGCCAGCATAGACTATGCTGATTTTATTGCTCCTTCTCTGTCCTGTATGCTTCAGGAACCTCAGAGAGGCAAATAAGATGGATGTGATTGGGGGGGGAGGGGGTGTCTGTCTGGCTACACCGCTTCATTAACTACTTCGGTCGTCTCCATTTGCATCTCTAGTCCGAACTAGGGATGCAGTGTAGATGTACCCAGAGAGATTATTACAGCCTCTTCCCGACTTGCGAACTGGTTATGGACCAAGCAATTGGTCCGTAACTCAGTTTGTTCGTAAGTCGGACCCCATAGAGTTACACGCGACTACGCGGTTCGTAAGCACGGATTGCATTTGTAACTCGGGGTCCATCATTCACGACAGCGGTCGGAAATGCGAACGGTCGTAAGTCGACCATTCGCAACTTGGGGACCAGCTGTATTTTCTTTCTTCAGGCATGAGGATGGGAGGAGGGAAGCTTATTTCATTAACAAGTGTGAGGCACTCAGATACTACAATGATTAGTGCCTCCGAAAAGTCTACATGTATGTTCAGAAATGAGTAAGCAAATTTTAATCTAATGCCTCAGCACATAAACTGCTCACAGCTATGCTAAGACAGAAGTATGCCAGGCACATTGTTAGGGACTTGGTTCATCACTGGTGATTTCAAGCATAGGCCACTAGACTTCACGAGCAATGGGTCTAATCTAGCATTGCAAATCACTCATTACTTTTTTATTTTGAAATTATATTTGGCATCATTCAAAACTGTTTGTAGCTGCTGGGAAGAGCTATTCCATTAACAAGTGAATTTTTATATCTTGGTTGTATACTGGTTTAATAGGCAGAAGGGAAAACCCAGCTACTATTTCTGTCCTGTTTAGACCTGAAGTTGTCTCTGAGATAAATATGTCCTCACTGATACATTAGAGTCCTTCACTTTGGGGCCTTTCTCTATGTTCCAGTGAAAACTAACCTTGCTGGAAGCCACGCAGATAAACCCAGGAATAACACAACATCAGGCACTGTGATAGATTTCAAGGATGTTCCCCACCAAAGCAGCAATGCCTCATACTGATAACCCAGGACATCTGTGGGGACAGCCCTGAAGTGGCCCCCTTATCTC